GCTCTGGGCCTATGTCTTCTTTACCGCTGCCGTGTGCACTTAACCTTGCTCTCTGGTCTCTGTAAGGCCTCACACAAAGCTCTAATGAATGCTGGAGCCTTACTGGCAAAGATGTCTCAAATCCACTGCTATCAACTGAAATCACTTTGTAAATCATGGTAATTTCATTCCAAATATGAGGATTATTCATCTAAAGGTTTATTTGCTTAATTGTGGAACTCAATACAATGATTACTATGATTTTTTTCCCCCAGTAATAAACAGATATAAGTTAAATGACCATTGTATGTAGACAAGTATGGGATATTTATGAAAATAACTGTGAAAAATGTATTTACACATTTTAAGGAAAATGGTAAAGGGTCTACATGTAGCAGAAAGCCACAGAAGGTCAAACATACGAGCATGTTAACACAACAGAAATCATTTACTCCCCCTCATGCCATCTGAAACCATTATACTCTTCTTTATACAGTGTAACACTAACAAGATATGTTTCATAATGTCTAAGCTGGTACTTTCTCAACAGTGACCAGTGGGTGTCAAGCGCCAAACAACACAAAAAAGCATATTAAACTAGTCCATATAATGATGAACAATACTTGAAGTATTCTGCAACAGAATATCTTTCTGTGAGAAACAGACATTGAAGTTATTGCTGAAAATCATCCCTCCTTTTTAGCTCTCAAATCACATTTACACCTGCACACCTTCGAGACACAGCAAGTTTGAGTTTAAATTTGAACATATTGAACAACATAATACAGAGGAGAGGGGAATTAAACAAACAAGGTTTGCCTACTTTGATGTATGGAATACTTTTCTTGTCCCTTTTGTCGCTGTTTGATTGACATTCAATTTATACTGTACTGTACTGCAAAGAGCATATTTTCAGCTCCTCCTTAACATTTCCTTTTGTGTTCCACAGAAGAAAGAAAGTCATAGTCCAACAATGGGGCTGTAAATAATGACAGAATTTTAATTTTGGGGTGAAATATTCCTTGAACTGAGGAACACTGGCACACTGTACTATGGTACACTACAGTATAGGGGCTTTCGCACTGGGTAGTTATAGGAACTTGGTTATAGGAACTAGCCAGGGCGGTCCCCCGAGAACTACATTTTCTCCTAGGGCCATTTTCCTGGTAAGTAGGCCAACAGCAACATCATTTAAACGTGGCATTCAATAACGTCATTAACTAGAGGATGGAAGACGCCATGATCAGAGCTGTGTTTTTATTGTGTGTTATGGGTTTCATGATAAAGGAAATAGAATGTAGACGTACAAGTTATGTGATAGAAAGAGCAAAAAGGAACGCTGAGAGATAAAATCTACTGACAACTTGCAGTTCTACATATCATTGAGGCTGAGAAAAAAACAGCACCGCAGACAAAGGCAAATGCTACCTATCACTGTTTTCCATGTTCGTGGAGTAAGTTTAAACTGTGGGTTTACACTGATTTTTAAAACTGGTGTGTTTTGTAAGGCATGCGTTCAGCCAATCAACGTACACTTACGTCACAGGTAGTTTTTATTGAGCTGGGTTAGACCTACTCTGAAGTACAAAAGGCGTTCCTATAACAAAAATAATTCCCAGTTCCAGTGGTGTCAAAAAATGGGTATCTCCGCCAATAGTTAGAGCTACAAAGATTAATCGTTATAAAAAATTGCGATCTTATTCCTAAATGAAAATGATTCACCTGTGTCTATTAAATCTTTGACAAAATCACACCGGAACATTCTGAATGATCTGTGTTTGCACTGCTGTTGACAAAAATATATTTATCATGTACTCTCTATAGGTATGAAACAGCTTCACAAACAGTCTTTTCAATCACACAGTATTGATATTTCTGTACAATAATTCAAATCATCACAGAAGTACTTGAACTAAGTTCACATTTCGAATATGAACACTGATGCAATCAAAATAGAGCAAATCCCATTTTAAAAGTAACATGGCGTTGTAAATAACGATTGTATAGATTAAATCGTTACACCAGTAGATGGCGACAAGCGACTGTTAAAAAAAAATTGTCGTTGAATTTTCATTCAAGAGATTCGTTCAAAAACGCTGATTCATCCAGTAATGAAACAAGTGAAATATTTATTAATGAGTCATTGAATCATTCATTCAACCCAATTTTTTTATATTAATTCTAATTAATTAAACATTTTTAAATAGACAGCAGCAATTAATATTTTGTCAGATTACATTACCTCTAGTAATTTACAGTAATGTTTTATTTAGTTGTCTGTTCAGAATTGTGGGAGAATTGTGATCTCTATTTGAAACAACAACAAAAAAATCGTGATTCTCTATTTATCCATAATCATGCCGCTCTACCTTCTAGGAACTATGAAAATGTTCCTGTGCGAAAGCCCCTTATATGTGCAGTTTCAAAGTGATCAATGGAAATTAATCAAGACCAGGGTGTCGTTAGACTCTTTTTATAGTAAAATATTACTGATAAGTCCTTGTCTGACAATGGAGATTACGGCATCTGAGGTGCGTTTTGCCAAAGACAACTATGGTCGCAAGTTCCGTCTTACAACACAATTTAACGGAACTTGCGACCATAGTTGGCTTTGGGAAACGCACCCTTGAGAATCATTTTCCCTAATAAGATTTCAGCAATCATGTAGTGTATTTTTAGATTAAGAACTAATGATGCCAGATTCGGAAATAAATCACTCTTTTGATCTAATCTGACGAAACTGTTTTTTGTTCGCGATTCAGTTTGATTCATTTGGACAGTTCACTCACACACTAAAATCTGTTTTTCACACCAAAATATTTACAAGATACTTTATAAGACAGAAAAAAAAGAGAGCACTGCATGATATATTTAGGCCTACCTATTCATTGTAGGATATGAAACCTGCAAATGTCTTATCATTTGAGTACAAGGAAGCAGCTCGGCTCTGTACTGCAAAGCCAATTTATATAAATATATCTGTAACAGTATCCAAAAAAAATAAAAAAAATATTGGGACACTTTTTGACGGAGGTCTGTGCGTCAGTACTGATGAAAAGCTAAAAACGCCCTTGATCGACACATATCTCATAGTGATATAATATCTCAAAGATATTAAAAGTCACAGCACTACAAACTCCGGATGCTCGAAAATGTGTGGTGGCTGAAACGGGTCAAATTCATGTTTGCACTTTCAACACTGAGTCCCCTTTTGCACACATTAGGAGAGTGCTGGTAGTGGGATTGCCAGAAGATCACATGGTTTCACCGGTGAAAGAAACCTAAAACCAACACCTTTTGCGTCCAAGGACATGTGATGCCCATACTCGCTCATACACACACACACACACACACTACACAACACAACACAACAGAATCTAATTCAACAGAATCTACACCAAATATGTCACTGAATGATGACATAAACAGTTGCTCCATCCATATGTCCGTGACAGTATCATATACATGGTGTTGTCAGCGTTTAGCTCCAAGTAACCACAACCCGTCCACCAGGGCTAAACTCACAAGGTCCAACCTCAGGTCTCAATTTTGCCCTCAGCAATAAAACTAAAAACAAACATCTCCTTTTATTTCAATCACAAGCAATATCCAGTATTAAACAACCTTTAGTTAGCTGGCACCTCTGTGAAATGAGACTACTTCATACAGGTACCTCTGTGAAAGGCAAGTGCATAAATCTGAAGGGGGGTTAAGTAAAATCCGATCTGAGGGCTTCTGACGAGCGTCTCGGGACCAACAGTCCAAGAGTCTCCAACATCCTACACCTCTGATCGGGGCAACATGGATTAACATTGGAGGAATGGTGGGGTACAACTGAGTACTACGAGCATCATCAGCCGAGCCCTGAAATGAAGACCCAGGCTATATTTAACTCTGACTCCATACTCTGTTGGATGGGAAAAAGAGTACGGCTACACAGTCAGCATCTGCTGGAACAATAGACCTGACACATTAGCCTAGCCATAGGGGAAAACTTGTATAGTCTTCACATATACATTTATAGAAATATGGTGGAGAGCAAATACACATGAGAGTAAGAGAAAAAACTTTGTGAATATGTAAAGGATAATGCAAATTGGTCACACTTTAGATTAGGGTCCAATTCTCACTATTAACTAACTGTGAACTATGACTTCTGCCTCAATAAACTCCTAATTACTGCTTATTAATAGTTAGTAAGGTAGTTGTTAAGTTTAGGTTTGATTAGGGATGTAGAATATGGTCATGCAGAATAAGGCAAGTAGGATGTGCTTTATAATATGTGCTTTATGAGTATTAATAAACAGCCAATCTCCTAGTAATATGCATGCTAATAAACAACTACTGTAGTTAATACTGAGAGTTGGACCCTAAACTAAAGTGTTACGTGCAAAATTATAATGTACATTATCCTGTTTACTACACACCCGCTTACAAAATAAATAAATAAATAAATAGACATGAATATTTAATTGAGTTTCAGTATTCATTTATTATTTATTTTTGAATTATTTTATTATTTGAAAAGAAAGACCACAGCATGATTTTGAGACATGAAACTAGCACAGCTACTTACGAAATAGTTAGTCGGGGACAATGTTCAATTCAAATTTAGTGGTCATTGTACAAAAATATTTGCCAGCAGAATGCCACAATTGACAAGTATTTCAGAGAGAAATATTTTAAAATCTTTCCCAACTTCCCATCTAATTTTCTAGATACTAAACTATTGGACATATTTACAGTATGTCTAGCTAAGCGGTGTAGCCCAACTTAAATCATGACCATTTTAAATCCCAATTCCTCAATATTCTATCATATCAAGCTTCTTATTAAGCTAGACACTTCTGTCAAGTCATGGTCAACAGCATATTAAAACAACACTGAAATCAAAATTTTTGGGGGCCAAAATGAATACTTATATGAATATGAATGAATACAGCTTTCTAGATAGAGACACAGCCTTGCCCTCAACCGACTGACCTATGCATCATGCAGTGCGCTCTTGACCACAGCTTTACCTTTCACAGTGAGGTAAATATTTCCACAAACTCTTCGGTCTTTGGTCTTCCTTCCAGCTGAAGTCTCGTCTCTCTTACCCGAGGCCAGCGCGAGCTCCAGGACAGCTGTTGCTGACGCATAAACGTCTTGAATGAAACCTGAGATTGAGCCGCAGGTATAGAGGATCATCACTGGAAAACTCTTACATATGCGGGGTTTGAAATACACTGTCTACTTTACCTTTCTGGAGCAGATGCTTTAATGGGTTGTTTTTATAGTAAAACAATGTATTGCCTATAGAGTAGACTAGAGAATGATTCGCCCTCCCCCACGGGGGTATTTAAAGGTTTTGGTTGTATTATAAAGGAATAGGCCTATTTAAACCGCTTGTTTAGCTTCTTTGTAAAATTAATCTAACGAAAAGAACCTATAACGTTTAGGAAAATTATAACACAGCTTACAAAAAGTGCACATTCATCAGTATCGCACAAATAGTCCGATAATCGAATGCGAAAGAGTTCACAGTCACACACGTTCAAACGAGTATTGTGGTAAAAAAAAGAGAAATCGATTTCATTTAAATTATTATTGATTTTCAACGAATAATTGAATCAGTGCATTGTTAGCCCATTGTTATTTTTATGTTTTAAATGCTAAATTTGTCATGATTAATAAATGGGTATAAATAAATAATAGGCTAAATTGTTAGTTCTAACAGTTCAAACTAAACAAAGCATATATATATGAAACAGATATAGGCTAAAACACACACACACACACACACACACACACACACACACCTCTCTCTCTCTCTCTCTCTCTCTCTCTCTCTCTCTCTCTCTCTCTCTCTCTCTCTCTCTCTCTCTCTCTCTCTCTCTCTCTCTCTCAGTCACTTTCTCTCACGCACACACCGACTGTTTAAAGTAGATCATGCAGCTGAACAGAAATGTAATATAGTTGATCACTCCCTACTGATAATGTTGCAGATGCTTCTTGGAAGGGATGAATGAAGAACTGTATAGGCTGCATGCTAACAACAACTTTTTTTCAGAAAACCTCTGAACCTATTCACATCACTATTTGCTCACCGTTTAATACTGAATGTCTAATACACATTATTCACATCATGACATGTTAATGTAAATACTGACTAAAAGGAGCTCAAGTTTGAAAACTGATATTGATGACGTAATACATCACACTGAATATTGAACATGTAGCGCCATCCTCTGGTGTCACAAAAAAACATACAAAAAATTAAGGGTTATATTAATAAATTCTATTTTAATATTAACACATGATTAAAAATAGTAAAGTATAAACCAAATAGGATTTTAAAATTTTCAACATGCCAAAAACACATTAGACATGTGGAAACAAATATACAGCGGCCACAAAATTGGACACAAGCCACTCTTAAATTTGTATGAATGCCATTGCATCAGATAAAATATGAAACTAAGTGGCAAAATATAAACCAAGTGTCTTTTTTTCACACCTAACTTTTTTAAACTAAATTGCAGCCATTTTTGCTTTTAATCAACCAAGTTTTTGCAAGTGATTTAGGTAATCAAAGTTCTCCTCCAGTTCACAGGTGTCCTATCATAGTTAAAACAGGTGTATTTCATCACATAAGCTATGCACTAATGTTTGACAACAATAAATATGTTAATAAATATATGGGCCATTCTACAGAATTGGTTCAAAGTCAGAGTTGGAAACATCTTGAATTTATTTTTTCCCCCACACATTTTGTATGCAAATTGTATAATATCCAAGGTACACATTTCTAGTAATTGTGCAGTTAATTCTCATATTGTATTTTCAGAATGTTTTGGAATATTTTCCTCTCCCCAAATTTGTCACTACCGAAACACAATAATACATAATAAGAAGGCTTATAAGGCAATAACAATTGCAATTTGAAAAATATTTCAAGTGTAATTTATGAGATTTGTTGTATTTTGAATCCAATCTTTCTTTGTAAAAGGCATAAAGACAAGTTTATCATACTGATTTCAAAGTTAAGGATTCATTAGTTTGAATATACATTGCACCAAACACTATAATAACATCTTAGTTGATAATTCAATATACTTATTTTTGACAAAACATTTCGGTTGTCATTTTCACAAGTTGAAATTTAGGGGTTAGGGTTCGGGACAGCCACCTCCCAATTGAAAGTACCCAATAAATGATGATTTTATAATACATTAAGCTTACTGATATTTTAAATATCGTTGTGGGATTCAGTAGATAACAGAAGGATCTTAGTAAACATCTAAGATTTGAATACTTAAATGCTTTTTAAATGTGTTTTTTGGTTGTGGGACAGCAGTTTGCACCAATTCTGTAGAATGGCCCATGTACTAAATAAACAATAAATAAACACTATATGGATACAAGTATTGGGACACACACACCTCAATTCAGGTGTTTCAATGAGACCCATTACCAAAGGTGTATAAAAGCAAGCACCTAGGCATGCAGTCTGCATTTACAAATATTTGTGAAAAAATGTGTCGTTCTGAAGAGCTCAGTAAATTCAAGCGTGGTACTGTTGATGGGATGCCACGTCTGCAGCAAGTCAGATTTTATCCCTGCTAGATATTCCTAGGTCAACTGTAAATGGTATTATTGGAAAGTGGAAGCGTTTAGGAACAGCAGCAACTCAGCCATGAAGCGAAAGACCACATAAAGTCACAGAGTGTAAAGCATAAAGGTCGCCAATTCTCTGCTGATTACATAGTTGAAGAGTTCCAAACTTCTACTGGCAATACAATCAGCACAAATGGAATGGAATGGATTTCCTTGGCAGAGCATGCTGCATGCAAGCCTCACATCAACAAGTACAATCCCAAGCATCGGATGGAGGTGTGTACTGTAAAGCACGCCACCACTAGACTCTGGAGCAGTGGAAACGTTCTGTGGAGTGATACATCAGACTTCTCTGTTTGGCAGTCTGATGGGTGAGTCTGGGTTTGGCGGATGCCAGGAGACCGTTACCTGCCTGACCAACACATTCTCATCCTTTGGCGTCATATAGGTGACGCCATATGACATTTCGTCGAAATCTTACGCACATGGCATCCTTTAGCGTCAATATAACACGCACTGTTATGGGTAGGTTTTGGTCTGGGGTAGGGTTACGGTTATGACGCCTTGGGATCTGCGTCTCATATTGACGCTAAAGGATGCCATGTGCGTCGGATTTCGACGAAATGTCAAAAGCGTCACATGTATGACGCCTTGGGATGAGAACGGGCTGGCCTGACTGCATTGTGCCAACTGTAATGTTTGGTGGAGGGATACTGGCATGGGGTTGTTTTACAGGGATTGGTCTGCCCCTTACTTCCAGTGAAGGGAAAACTTAATGCTTCAGTATACCAAGACATTTTGGACAATGCTATGCACCCAAATTTGTGGTAACAGTTTGGGGAAAGCCTTTTTTTTATTCCAGCATGACTGCCACAGTGCACAAATCAAGGTCCATCAGGACATGGTTGGATGAGTTTGGTGTGGAAGAACTTGACTGGCCCACACAGAGTGATGACCTAAATCCCATCGAACAGCTTTGGGATGAACTGGAATGAAGTCTGCGAACCAGGCTTTCGCGTCCAACATCTGTGCCTGACCTCACAAAGGCTCTACTGGGCAAAAAATCCCACAGAAACATTCCAAAATCCTGTGGAAAGCCTTCCCAGAACAGTGGAAGCTGTAATAGCTGCAATGAACCAACTCCATATGAATATATATGTATTTAGAATATGATGTCATTACAGTCCCTGTTGGTGTAATGGTTATGTGTCCCAATACTTTTGTCCATATAGTGTATATAAATGAGCTTTTACATGACCGGAAAAAAACAACCATATGTGATGTGTGAAAACATTTACGTAGTTATCATGACAGTGGTATAACAACATAACATGACAGAGCAAGCTGAAGTGCGTTTGTTATAAAATGTCCTCAAGTTTATGCAGTAAATTCTTGCGTTGCCATTTGGAGAGTGTTGTTGTCAGTTCGAGACTTGTATTTCTCAATCTCTTTTCTTATTTCATTCTGGACCTATGAAATCCAGTAGTTAGTTTATTACAAGAGGTCCGAAATATTTCTTTATATCTTCATTTGCTATTAAAAATAAATTAGATCTTACCTCAGTGTTCATGAAGCAGTATAACAATGCCACAATGAAACCCTTAAAAGAAAAGGCAAAATTAGTATTATGAGTCATGACTTTATTGAGAGGTTTTTATTTATGACAGGTTTTTTCATTGAGACTTTATAAACTTGACTACTATGTTTCTGCATGCTGTAGCTTTTGTATTTCAAGTGTATTTACTGTAGTAGAGGGCACAGTTTCACTTATGAACAAGCTTCATAGAAGCATCTCTTAGGCTCTTCACCACCTCTCAAATGAGAGAGCTAATAACAACAAATCTTGACAGCTTATTTCTTAAAGATGGCAGTATATATAGTTGACATTCCTGGGCTACACTGTAGATAGCATTAAGCCATAAGTGCCTGAACAGTACCTGGAAGGAACCTAGCACAAGTTCAAAGAAGAGTCTCGCCTCTAGACCCACATGCTCGGGAAAAAGAGCAAATACGGTGTAATGCACTCCAAAAAGAGGGATTAGCAGAAGAGTTGACTTAGCCAGTCGCCTACAGAACACAGTGAACACACATTGTAGTTTTAAAAAAAGTGAATGGTGGATAATAGAGATCAAGGCTCCTTAATATACACTCACCTAAAGGATTATTAGGAACATCTGTTCAATTTCTCATTAATGCAATTATCTAATCAACCAACCAAAGCAGTTGCTTCAATGCATTTAGGGGTGTGGTCCTGGTCAAGACAATCTCCTGAACTCCAAACTAAATGTCAGAATGGGAAAGAAAGGTGATTTAAGCAATTCTAAGCGTGCATGGTTGTTGGTGCCAGACGGGCCGGTCTGAGTATTTCACAATCTGCTCAGTTACTGGGATTTTCACGCACAACCATTTCTAGGGTTTACAAAGAATGGTGTGAAAAGGGAAAAACATCCAGTATGCGGCAGTCCTGTGGGCGAAAATGCCTTGTTGATGCTAGAGGTCAGAGGAGAATGGGCCGACTGATTCAAGCTGATAGAAGAGCAACTTTGACTGAAATAACCACTCGTTACAACCGAGGTATGCAGCAAAGCATTTGCGAAGCCACAACACGCACAACCTTGAGGCGGATGGGCTACAACAGCAGAAGACCCCACCGGGTACCACTCATCTCCACTACAAATAGGAAAAAGAGGCTACAATTTGCAAGAGTCTCGATTTCTGTTGAGACATTCAGATGGTAGAGTCAGAATTTGGCGTAAACAGAATGAGAACATGGATCCATCATGCCTTGTTACCACTGTGCAGGCTGGTGGTGGTGGTGTAATGGTGTGGGAGATGTTTTCTTGGCACACTTTAGGCCCCTTAGTGCCAATTGGGCATCGTTTAAATGCCACGGCCTACCTGAGCATTGTTTCTGACCATGTCCATCCCTTTATGGCCACCATGTACCCATCCTCTGATGGCTACTTCCAGCAGGATAATGCACCATGTCACAAAGCTGAAATTGGTTTCTTGAACATGACAATGAGTTCACTGTACTAAAATGGCCCCCACAGTCACCAGATCTCAACCCAATAGAGCATCTTTGGGATGTGGTGGAACGGGAGCTTCGTGCCCTGGATGTGCATCCCACAAATCTCCATCAACTGCAAGATGCTATCCTATCAATATAGGCCAACATTTCTAAAGAATGCTTTCAGCACCTTGTTGAATCAATGCCATGTAGAATTAAGGCAGTTCTGAAGGCGAAAGGGGGTGAAACACAGTATTAGTATGGTGTTCCTAATAATCCTTTAGGTGAGTGTATATAATGTGACGTATCTGTAACATTGCCTGTAACACAGTAAGAGGGGCCACTTACACTACACCATTTTCAATTAAAAAGTAAACTTTTTATGCTGAAAACTCAAACCTTTGAAAACTGGTTTCAAAGTGCAAGTTTTTAAAAACTATACCGCTATCTTCTCTGTGTAAACTACAAAAATGCAATTTGTGAAAACGGTGACATCATGCGCATGCGTATCACGTGTTCAGTTTATATGCACATAGTGTTTCTTTACAAAGTGACATCGCCAACTACTGGCCTGGCAGCAACATACAGCGTTTCACTGTAAACCCGAATAAGTTGGCACAACTCAAAAAATGTAAGGCAATCAGTTGCCTCAAATTTTTTAAGTTAAGAAATTCAAAGTTTAAGTAAGCAGAACTGACATATTTTTACTTTGTATTTGTACATTTGAATTGTTCTTAACTTGAAATGTTTGAGTACACTAATTCATACATTTAACTTACAATTTCATGTAATCTCAATGTGAACACTTTTATTAGTATTAACTTAGCTAGCTTTAACAAGCTAGTTTGCTAACATACTATTTTGTTAACATCTTAACAATAGTATGCTATACAGTAACACTTGCAGCAATATATAGATTTTATTTGCTCTCAAATCAAGCTCATGCACCACTTGTCACCATGATGGTAACTATCCTAAAACCAACATTAACAGAAATTCTTCTAAATTAGCATAACGAAACATCAATCATTACTAAATCACCCACTTAACATTAATCTTGCACAAAAAAACATTGTATTACACTTAATTTGAGCATTTACTCTCCCTTTCGAGTGCCATCGGCAAAGCATGCTGGGGAATATACATCCCAGCCGTTTCAGTTAAACTTAAGTTCGTCTAAATTAAAAGAAATAATTTCATAAAACTCAAAACAATGAAACAGTTCAGTTTACTTAAAATATATCCATTCTGTGAACTTGAAAGAAAAAGAAAGTGCTAAATACTTAATTTAAGTTTTTCCTACTCAAACCAATTAAGTATTTTGAGCGTTAGGGTTTACAGTGTTGTTTTCATGGGTCCGTGTGAACGGTGATTGTTTGACAATGGTGTCATCTGTACATCGTTGTCGTGTAACCGTACCCATATAGGCTGAATCCGAAATCGGCCCCTAAACTCTCTTTGTAAGAGAGTGAGTAAATTTGGACAGACTTTCTGTGTCATCGGCTGTACACTAGTTATTGCGGTGCAATGTGGTATTGAATGAGTGCACTCGGTAGCGTCCACTATGGTTTTGGACATCACTACAAATGGCCCCCTTAAGGGTGTATGGGGCGATTTCGGATTCAGCCATACATGCTCTATGTGAGATCTATATTAATTACTTAATATATCTCACCTGTAAAGCCGCCTTTCTCCTCCATTTGATTCTGGGGTTTTTGTCTTCACAACTATCATCCTGCTTATATTAACAAACACTACAAAGTTCACCTGTAAAGTTTAAAAGTACAAACCTTTTTATTATCTTGATTTATAGTCAATAAGTCTAAGAAGTATTATGTTCAAGTGTAATTTTTGTGGTAAGACACTGAAAAAATGTAACATAAATTAATTGGTTTAATATCACTGAATCAGCCCACATACGTTCATTTATAGCCTACACAAAAATGTTTTTTTATAGATTATATCAGGTAGAAATCAAATTACTCTTTAACCCCTTAAGTGTCAAACTGAATATTTACTGAATATTAAACTGGGAGTGTTTCATTTTTTTCTGCATAAACTTACAAATACAGAAAGCAAAATGGGAATTTTGATGATCCACCAGTAGCCACTGTCCATGTCATCCCAGCACCTACCAACACATATAAACACAGGCGTTTATGATACACTTAAGTACATAAGATCCAAATGTACCCCACAATAATCTCATTATCACCCATAGTTGTCATATTTCTGCTTGAGGAATGTCCATATGATTACTGTGACAGATGGAGTCCCTGTAGGACAGAGAAAAGAATCAACAAACACTTCAGAATAAGTTATACTATAATCAGCGGTTTGTGTGTAAAATATGCTTCCTGTAATGTAACACTTGGTTTTACCCCAGCCAATAAGAGTATACCACCAGAAGAATGTTCCCTTGCGGGCGAAGGTGAAAACTAGCAGTGTCTGGAGATAAAGTCCCTCAACGAGCAGCCAGTAGAAATTTGATAACACACAGTACTGGAAGAACGTCACCACAGCCTTGCACAAAACCTGGCAGATGAAATACAGCATTCAGTTATAGAGGATCAGATGATCTGATTTATGCTATGGCATTTATTTTGCATTGATCTTATCAGTCATTTCGTCGGTGTAATGTACAGTGGAGACTGTGCAGTGATTGATTGTCTCGTCGGCGAATAACACAGCATCTTTTACAAACACAGCCAAAGCCCTCAGGATAAATGTGGAGAAGAGGTTGAGGTGGATGTAGGTCCGTGTACACAGAAGCTTTCTGTTGGATTAATGAAAATGCGACACTATTACGTGATATCAGCATTCATTGAAGCAAATATAATATATGTAAAAAAAACTTCACCAGAATTGAATTCCAGCATGTAGCAGAACAGTGAAAGAGTAAAGGCACTGAAGCAAGAAGTGAATGTTTAAAGTTATTACCTAAAGATGCAGAAGATGAAGACCGCAATACAGAGAGAACCAATGGACACGCCGTACCCAACGGTGTATATCAACTTCACCATGGCAAAGTACTCTCGCTTCCACAGTAAAATGGAAAATATAAGTTTAGATACCACTTTATTCATCTTGGAGAATCCATTTGATCTAATCTAAAGTAATAAATTAACTTTTTCTTCAAAGGTGATGTGACTGTGTAATTTTTTTTTGCAATATTTAAATTCTTCCTGTAACATAATTGCTTAGGGCAGTAGTTAAACCTTCCTTATCCACATCATGATTTGCACAGTGAGCTGAACAGTTTAATTGTTAATACTGAGCTCATATTGATAACTTAATGCAAACAATGAATATTGAACATGTAGCCACAGGTGTCACATACAAAGCATAACAAAACAGGTTAGACACAAAAAAATGTATTCGGACACTTAAAGGGGTCATATAATGCCATTTTTGTACAAGCTAATATGATTCTTTAGGGTCTAAATTAAAAGTTTGTAATATACTTTAATTAAAAATTCTCATAAGTATTGTAAGAAAACACTTATTTTACTTGGTCAAAAACAGCTCTGTTTTCAGCACGCCGTTTCAGTGCATATGACTTTAAATGATAATGAACTTTGCTCACCCCGCCTCTCTGTTCTGTGCGTACACCGTTTGTAACTCAATAACACAATAACCATAACGCGTTGTTCAGTATAAACGTGGGATTATGAATTATATTGAGAACATCATACATAGAAAACATGCCGTAATGTTCCCTAAGTGTAAACCTTAGACGCATTCATTGTGAAGCGTGCAGCTAGCGATTTGCAAAGATTAATATAAATATTAATGTAAAGTTTAATAAAACGTTACACTCACTTCAGTTCTTCTAGAGGTTCAGCAGGAACACGAATAGCTGGTACCGATCCTTTTTTCATGAGCAGCTTCTTAGCAAAACCAGCTCATACTGATCCTCGTTTATAAAGCAGTCTGGTGTGTGAAATGATTCGCGCAAACATGAAAGCATTGACGTTGCTCGTGGGGAATATTCCCTTCGAAAACAAACTCAGCCACTGTGTCTTCAGCGTTTCGGATTTAGGAACATTAAAATGACTGCTGTGTTCGTTATTACACCCAAGAACAGAACACCACAATCGCTTAGACGCCATTCTGCTCATAGACAGTGCTCCAGCATATCAACAAAGACTGGATGGATTTTTATCATTTTATGATGGTTGTGTACAGGCACTGCCAACACACATTTCAGTACAATCAACTTGTAAAAGTGCAGGTACCAGTATATGACCCCTTTAAGCCACGCTTAAATATGTATGGATCATGACATTGTATCCGATAAAATATCAAACCAAGTGCCATTTCTCACACCTAATCTTTTATAAAAAAAGCCAATGGGGGAAGGGGAAGTGTTCAGGAAACCTGTTTAAAAAACATTCAAAAACCAGATCATTTTTATGTTTGGTGATGCTGGTGGTGAATCTTTTTTTTTTAAATCACACACTTCACCTTCCACAATACAGCAACATTAAACAGGATTGTAGAACCCATCCAGAAGTGCAATAATCCATAGCATTTAGTTATGTTCATTTAATATCAAATACGATTTCTTCAAGGCTTTTACTCTGTGTCCAGTGTCTTCCTGATCTGTGCTGTTGTCCTGAAAGCAGGCGCTGTAATAAGGCACACTCAGCCTACTCCATCCCTCAGTAGTGCAGGTGCGGGTGATCAGCTCTAAAGAAGTCAATCATAAAGACTTTTACATTTACTGTACGTCACAGCATTGGACTTTATGGCCACATTCATAGAAAGAGTGCAATTAATGTGTTGAAGTTTTGATATGTGCAGGGTCCTAAGAGAGAGAACATTACCATGGGAGTTCAGGAGAGGAGGTGGACAAGACACTGAGACTCTCTCTCCTACACTAACTGCAGGCCAGCAGTTCACTCCATCCCACTCAACCAGACAACCTGAAGACATCCACAGTGGTACAATTAAAGACAGAAGTCTTCTAAAACAGCTACATTAAACTGATTCTCATCATCATAAGTATATGTTTTCCTGTGAACTCCTGTAACTGTTAATGCTAATGAATTATTATTTATGTTGTCTTATAGTAATGCATCTTATAGTTCTGTAAAGAGGTTGCATAAAAAAAAATACAATGAAAAGCAATGGACTACGGCATTAAGATAGCAAAGATTGCCTGTGATTAATGACTTGAATTTTTGTCTGTTCTTTATGTAAAGCTGTTATATGGCTTCAGAAAACATCTAGCACACATATAGACAGAACTGCTTTTATGGTGCTTTAACAATGCAGGATGAATTTCAATCTTTTATAAAAGGGAATTGAAAGAGGAAAATTAAATAATCTGTTAAATTTTTTATCCTTAGTCAGTCCCATATTTGCAATTGATCAGAATCAGCTTTAATCGCCAAAGAATTTGTTGCGGTTAACAGGAGCTCTGGTTATACATATATAATACAAGAGAATAAAAAAAAACATTTAAAAAAGGAAAATTAATAAAAATAAAAATACTATACATTATTATACTATACATAACTACTATGTACAGGTGTTTTTTCCCCCAAAAATTAATATTTACATCTATCATTTGTATTTACATACTTAAATCTAAACTCTAAACCCTCAGGTTGACATAAATGCCATAAGCCCACTGAATTATGAATTAAAAACAGGTAGTAATTGGTGTGCTGTATATAAGCCTGAGGATATACATTTATGCAAATAACATGATAAAATCAAAGGATCAATAGTGTGAGTCGACATCTTGATGAAATGTTTTGAGTATCAGTGCTTATCTGTGACTTAGCTCACCTGTATCAGTAGCGTTAAAGTTTAACAAAGACTGCGTTAAACCTGCGATTTTGAGCTGACATTCAGCTTCATTCTTTTGCAGATGCAATACTATAGAACATTCAGGATGAACGGTCTTCACCTGAAAGGCATAAGTGGATGCACACTATAAGAACTTCACAGAAATATTGATCTTTTGAATATAGTTTTGAAAAAAGATAACAAAGAACTTACCCCTTCACGTGTACTAACTATAAGAGTCCAGATGACAAAGCCATGATTAAGGTCCATGATGTTTTTTCTATTCAAGTCCCCGATGTAAATAATTCTTGGTCGGTTATGGTGAACAAGTGTAGCTCTATTGATTTTGTCAGTAGCCTACACACATATTCCAATGCTTATTCACAGTAATTCTCATCTATCTCTCCAACCTGTTTCAAGCAGCAGATGGTGAGATATACCCAGATGGTACAGCCCACTTTTCTGGGTGTACAGGACCCTTATCACCTCATGACATTAAAGTGTCATTGTTATTTTAAAACAAATCTAACGAAAAAAGATATCTTTCTATTACCTTTACAACATTCAGCATCTATTAGAACCTTGATTCTGAAACTATCTCTTGCACTGTCCTATGTTTGTTAATACTGTAAATAGGCTGTTTTTTGTGTTTCTACCTTGGCATTCAAGGCAGTCATCCGTCTTCTACCTGCCTGCTATCACACTAGGGAGGTTAAATGAGTCTTTTAGCCAGCACCATTTACTGCATGAGTGAACGTTAATCACTTCTTCTGAGTTAAAAGGATGACATTACTTCAGAGGTATGCAAATGACAAAGTCCCTCCAATCCACATTAAACATATTTTGAAAAGGGTTGATACAAAAATAAGAATAATAATGATTCTAATGTAGTTTAGTGCATGTCTCCTTTACAGGGTTAGGAATTGAATCGATTAATTTGCTTGTTATTGTGTGGACAGCAGTTAAGTTTTTCGTATGGTGCAGATGGACCGTGCCACTTTATCCATCCATTTTTAAAGCATGTCCTTCCCCTGAGGAGCTGAGGTTAGGCTGAAAGAAGACAATCGCAGAAAGATACATTCATACAATATTCAGAAAGAGAGATGTACTGAGGGATGAAAGTGAGAATTTGAAAATGACAGAATGAAAGTGTATTCATATTCATTGGTGTGTGTGTGTGTAGAAACTATAGAGGCAGCGATGTGTTTGAATATCACTCTAAAAACTTTTACTATGATTTACTCTTTTTTTTACACTTAAAAATATTGATTACATTTTAAAGCAGTGAAATCAATTACATACACTGTATGAACTGAGTAAATGTAAGTAAAAAAAATTAAGTAGCCTAGATGCATTTGGTAGGCTACAAAATAAAATTGAGCAGAAATAATTGGGAGGAAACATTTAAAAACCAATATTTATGAGTAATATTAACTGTTTTTATTTGTGTAATATGAACTTTTTTATTTCCTCTAAACCTTTGTAAAATATTCCATACAACCACCGGACATTGGCCTTTATTGTCGATGAGTAGCCTAGCTACAGCACAGCATACTGTTTAAACGTCAAGTAGTATACAATATTGCCTACATTTAAATTCATGTAACAAACATTTTAGAAGTAAAAATTAAACATTCAAGTGTAATCAATCGGTCTGTTCCAAGTATCAGCGCTGGTTCTCGTGCCGGAGATGGACTCGCGGTTTGCTGGTGAACTTTAGACCGCCGTCCTGCATTTTACTCATAACCGAAAGATGCTGCGACGCGACTGACTCCATCACCAATGCGACACTAGTTTAGGTGTCACATTGCGCCTCTGTATGTCTGTATTGTAATACATAACTCTGTATGTTAGCCATTGACTCCCATAGTATTTTTTTTCTCTGGAAGTCAATGGCATCTCTCAGGTTACCAGCATTCTTTAAAATATCTTTGTTTGTTTTCAGCAGAAGAAAGAAACTCATATGGGTTTGAAACAACATGAGAGTGAGTAAATGATGACAGAATTTTCATTTTTGGGTGAACTATCCCTTTAAGTGAAACTTTCATAATCCATTTCATTATATTGTATTCAATTCAATTCTAGCTAATTTTACACAAATTACAACCCTCAGTTAAGGTGTAATTTCAACAATTTAATGCACATGAAAATGAGGCTGTGTAAAGACTTACATTCTTTACAATGGCATGCTACTGAGTTTTTGTCTACTTTTTGTCATATGTTTTGGAAAAGCTGAGCAGGTGTGAATGAGGTGTTAATGTTTGGGGGTACAGTTAAGCTACAACATTTGTGTCTATTAAAAGCAGCAGCACTGTACAGTATCCCTACTCCTATGCTATCATCCTTATTGGTTTTTATGTCATTATGTTGATGATATTAATTAGCAGAACACAAAATGTAATATCCATCTACACATCTATAGTGCTATAGATGTAGATGGGTAGATGGATATTCCATTTTGTGTTTTGACAAGGATGACAGCAGAAAATAGAAAATACTCACACAGGACAAAGAGGAACATGGATGATGGTGCTCTGAGCAGGCAGCAAAAGGTATAACAATATGAAGTGGGGAGGGGATATGTATATCCAATGAAGCTTAATGCATGCACTGGAGTCACGGCATTCTTTCCTTTTTTAGAAATGTGAGTAATATATGGGAGGTGCAGCAGATTCAGCGCTGAGTATATAACATTTAAGAGTATATAACATTTAAGGCTCCTATCCGTACCATTCAACAGCAGTCAAACATTTGCATAAGACTCGATTTTGTCCATTCACTTACTGTGATTACACCACCATGGCTTCACAAAAGCAAGTGGCCAAAACAGAAGGAAAGCCCGCCCCAGCTCCAGAGGAAGAACCAGCTCCCGGAGCAGCAGAACCAGCATCAGCAGCACTGGAAACGGTTACTTCTGCCCCAACTGCAACACCAGAGTCAGCTACAAAAGAGTCTGAAAAAGCCAGCACTGCACCTGGGTTAGCCCCAGTCACAGCAGCCGAAGATCCAGCCAAAGCACAAGCTTCTCTTCCAAATCCAGCTTTCAAAAATGATCCTGCTGCTGCAGTAAGTCTCTGTTTTGGATAACATTATTTTATGGTATTTCAGTTGCCTGATGGCCTGGATTGATGTGCCCACAATAACGATTGACGTCTACATTTAAATGCACACATTTCTTTTAAGAATAAAGACTAAATGATTAAGATCACTTTATTGACAAGCATTTGGGTAATTAAACTTAGTGTTAATTAATTGAAAAGTTCAAATGAGGCACAATGACAAATTTTTTTTAAAACAAAAGGTCCACCTGTTTAAAATAGGGACATATTGATATTCTGTCTAAATAAATAAATATATTCACTAAAACTTAAATAAATATGCTGCACTTTGCCAAAAATGAAAATTCTACCATTAATTACTCACCCTCATGTTGTTCCAAACCAGTAAGACTTTCAAACCCATAAGAACACAAATGAAGATATTTTTAATGAAATCTTAGATATTTCTTCCCATCTGTTGACGCAACTAACAATATGACGCTTTAAAAAGTTTATAAAGAGATTAAATGAGACACGGTCGCTTTATATGATGAACATATTTAACTATAGGCCTTTATTCCCATTTAAACTTTGGTCAGCAAACATAAACAGAAGCTCAACCGTACTTGCTTGATGTTGTCATATAGATTCAAATACTCAGTCATATGTATGTAGAAAAGAGAAAATCCAAGGCACTCTTCTTCAAAATTATTTAAAAAAACTTTATTTTACTGGCTATTTCATATTAGAAAATTAAAAGACATGGGGAGAAGCAACCCACGTGTGGCGGCGCAAACAGCCTTCTTCAGGGTGTGCTTTTCAAACAAACAATTTCCCCTTTTGTGTGTGTGCTAATTACACATTACACCTGTGACATGGTGAGTTACCACATGAACATAATACATACACATACAGAGAGTCAACTAGGTGGCTACATTGCAAATTGAATTCAAAAACAAATGCTTAAAGTCCTCTCAAGAGTGCGTTTACTTCAAAGCTATTCCATGCCGTTCCGCTAGTATGGCAAGAATTTAATCATTTGTAAAACCACAATTGGAATACTCCTTAATCTGTTCATAATTCATCATGTATCGGGTTGCGTCAGAACAATGAGGGTGCCAGTCGGCAAGTCATCATTTTGATTTTTAAAGTCAGAATTTCTTTTTTTTTTTTTATCTCATAATTTCGATTTGGCATGTCAAAATTTCAACTTTTTATCTCATACTTGTGACTTAAAGTCATAATTTCGATTCAGTAAGTCATAAATTCGACTTTTTATCTCATAATTATGACTTAAGAATGCTGTATTTTTTCTTATGTGGCGGGAATGGGCTTCCATAATTATTAAGAGATAAGTCATAATTACGAGAAAGTTTCTCATTATAATGACATAAGTCGTTATTATGAGAAACTTTCTCAATAATGAGAAACTAAGTCATAATTATGAGAAAGTTTTCTTTATCTAGTAGCCGACATGCATCGCGTCAAGAGCCGATTGGTCTGCGCAACGCATAAAATGGACCAGCCGTCTTCCCGTACTGGTTGGGCCTTGTCATCTGACAGAAGTTTGCGAGACTCAATTTTTCCCCCAAAACTTGATCCGAGGATGAAGTGTCGTTTTCATGCACGGCTTTGAAATTATGTTGAACATGAAAGTTCAGATGTTAATGATAGCATTATTGATAAATTGGGAGTTTGTAATAACAGTAGCCCATCTTAACAGAGACGATGCGAAAATTGATACAAATCGAGTCAATGAGTCGCTCCAAAAAGCACAGCAGTCTCCCGCAGACGTGGAGAGGTTGTACTTGAGAACTGCTGAAGCACGTGAAGATGATTGCGAACTTTATCTCAAACATTCAACGCCTTCAAGCGAATCGGCAGAAGACTCAATGACCGAATCCACTTTCAAATGCCATCCATGTTTGGCGGATCAAAGTTGGGGGAATGCGGACTCAAACCGAGATGGACCAATTCCCACACAAAATGACGAGTTTAAAGAGCTTCTCAGGGGACCAGTGACCTGGCGATCCTTAAAAAGTTTGTTGTTGAGCTAGTACTTAGCACTTAATTACGTGTGCCATTTTTAAAGGTATATTTTCTTTGACTAACTGCGCATAAAACCCGCTTTATTCTTTCATCAAGGTCATCAGTGGGTTTTGGACGGAGTCGCGGTGTCTGGCGTCAATCAACCAGTGTTTCATTGTGGCAATGAACTCCTTATGATCAAGTTGTCCATGACTCTGCACTCAAATCCACGCTTGGTTATCAGTAACGGTAAGTAAAGTAGGGGAGAGCGGGGCACAACCTAACACATTTTGGTTTTGGCTCAATTATTAAAAAAAATAAAGTTAGATTCATCTTTTTTTTTACACAAGCTACATACACATCTCTGCTACAAATGAACACTTAAAGTTTTTTTCTAGGATTTTCCATTTTCGTACTGTTGCACTGAAAGTGACAGAAGTGCAAATGTTACAACCTACCCTATATGCGGGGTTAATTGTAACAGACAGAGGGGTTAGTTGTAACACTTGTGTGTAACACATAATTCAGTACTATTTTATCTGTATAGTTTGATATTGTTTGTGCATCTCTATAGATAGATATCCATACATCCATCCCTCATCCTTCTATTATGGATCAATATCATAGATAGAGATATGAAAGGGCTGCACAGTTTTGCAAGCAATAAATAAATAAAATCATCAAATATTGTAATTGTAATTGCAATTGAATTACATTTGTGTGTGGCAGCTGCATGTACAATTATTATTATTATTGATAATAATAACAGTAATAATAATAAAAACGAGCTTATTGCATTAAAACCAGGCTATATTTATAATAAAGAAACAAGTGATCAATGCATAGTAAACTAAATAAAAATAAACATCCAACATTGTTTGTGAAAGTCCAACAAAGTTAAATATATAAATATATACTCAAACAGGAAAAGTTGTGTGGCTCCCTGTTTTCATTTGATTATCATTGTACACTTGGCGGCTTAGTTGTAACACTGTGCGACAACTAACCCCGCTGTGTAAAACATATTTTAAGCCTAGCTAACAGTTGCTAGGAGTTGCTGACATGTTTCAAAACGGTGCTATGTTTTAGCAAACAAGACCGTGATTAAGGCAATATAAAGTTAGATTTGGTGACGTACACACCCAACTCAGAAACCAAAAAAACCTATGATGAAAAAATTTACTTGCATGGTGTCAAAACACTCTTTGATCAGTATCTTCATGAAATCTTATCAAAACTTTCCACATATTCGCGGGAGACCGTCTTCTGGCTGCGAGAGAAAAAGAGCGGAAACACAACCGGCTTGATCCTGACTAACTATATAAAAGGTCCGTGTTACATTTAGGTTGTGCCCCGCGCTCCCCTACCTGCTGTGAATATTCTCTCTGAGATAAAGAGGCGAAAGGAAATCGAATTATGAATAAATTGTCACCACAGACACAAAGTGAATGTTTTGTGTTTAATATCATTAACAAATAATAATAATATTAACATTAGCCCAATGTTATTAGCCCAAGAGACAATGCAGAAGTTGATACAAATTGAGCCAATAAGTCGCTCAAAAAGCACAGCAGGCTTTACTGTGTATTTTTGTATTTTACTTACTATTTTTAATGTCGAAAAGTCTCTTATGCTTATCAAGCCTGCATTTATTTGATAAAAAAATACAGTAGAAAACATTAATATTGTGAAATATTATTACAATTTAAAATAATTTAATAAATAACTTTTAATATAATTTATTTCTGTGATGGAAACCTGAATTTTCAGCATCATTAGCTACTCCAGTGTGCGTTGCATTTACAATCCTGTGAAAACAGCACCCCTACTTCCTGCGCCCCTGATATTTAGCTTTTATTGTATATAATTGTTAAAGTTTATGCTTGTAAATGAGGTCAAAAAGTGCATTGAAACTAGATTAAATCGGTCATTCCATAGGCTACAATTAGTACCGTATATCTTCCTTCATTGTGACGTTTTAATTTTTCCCTCTATTACTGAAACACAAAGTTCATGAATATTTAAAGGGGCAAATGCTGTTTAGTTTGCTGTTTGTTGCTGAACAAGTGGTCAGTACATAAAATGAGCAATTTACAAGAAACATTCTATAAAAATGGTTATTGCAGTCTATTTAGATAGATATGTTAAATTGTTTTGCATTAATTTTCAGTAACTATTTTGTGTGAATCTGCTATAGTGCATTATCAACATCAAACATTATTTAATGTAATCTATTTTTCAACGTATCTTTTCAGAGACAAAATGGACTGATTCACCTTCACAAAAGCAGTGTCAATGCATCAAAAGGAATCATGGGCCATCAATGCTACTGGGAATCCCTTTTAAAGAGTGCTTTACTCAAAACTGGGTAAGATATTCTCTTAATAGTAGCCTAGATGTCATGCTACATATTTATCATTTGTCACCTTGACAGACTGGTTTATACCCCCCTTTTTTTAAAGCTATGGTCATTTCCATACAGGACATTTGAGTTCATTAAATTGTATAGATCTATCCCGTTAAGTTTCTGCATGTAGATTTAGTTTTGATATAGCTAATATTGACATTAAAACTTATAATTCAAGGTTTACTATAGCTTACTTGTTTGCAAACTCCTAAGGGGTTTATCTTAAGAACTTGCACAGCTGTCACACATGGCATTTTATGAATACAGTACTGACTAACTTTAATTTGAATGTTAAAGCCTGTAGCAATCAGGACAGGACTATAAATAGACTTGACTAAACTTTTATTACCAGGGATGCACCTATTTTACAGATTGAGTTAAGCCCTATTCGCACGGGATTAGTATTATCTGGTGACCTATAGTAATTTGTAATAATTGCGGAGTTTGTCTGTGATCTTAATCCCGTGCGAATCGGCCATGTCTGTAATTTGTAAAGTAAAAATTCCCCCGCAAATTACCTACTATATTTCGCCGAACACCGAGGTCCTGTGATAATATTAGTCCCGCGCGAATCGGCATCTCTGTGATTTGGC